TTCCTCCGTTCTCCGGATTATTTTTACTGTAGGTAGAATAGAAGGTGTAGTTTCAGAATTTATATGCCGTATCCTTTGACAATTCGTTTTCATGTCAGATGATATATGCAGTGTAATATGTAACGATACATTTAGTAATTGACCAATCAGAATTAAAGCCCGCTATGCTTTCAGTATTATGTGATCGTTATATATGTGACCGAAACTTTTAACGGTTTTGACAAAACCGAAAGTCCGAAACTCTGATTCGAAACTTATGCCAAATCCGAAACCCTTGCCGAAATCCAAAATTTATTTTCATAAAATTGAAGCTCGGAAGTGAATGCTTTTTAAGTTGTCAGTGCATTAAAACCTATTCCTGAACAAAAAAAAATTTATTTAACCACACACACAGTACAATGTGTTTTAATCGTTTCTGAAAAATATACACAGCATAGCGAATCTAGATTTATTACCTAATTCCTATTGTCATTTGCTAATAAAATAATAACATTGATTTAGGTGCTCTCAAGCATCTCTCTCAGTGTAATTAGCTAGCTATAGAGATCGTGCACAAGTACTACGATTAATTGAAGTAAACCTTACAATAATTTTGTCGAAAATTCACGTTGCGAAACGCGGATATTAAACTTTAGCCAATCAGCACAACTCTATAATAAAAAAAGATAGTCACTGACCATCTTGTTTTTTCATCGCGATAATGAACTCGCTTGACCGAATAATTTATTTTCCACGAATTAAAAATTGACTCAGGCCTATTGATTTAGATGCTTGATAGCATTTAACGAGTTCTTGAGTTTAACACTATTAACGAAAATAAGGCATATATTCGGTTTTGGCCATTATACAAAAGCTAGTTTTCCGATTGTTATCTTTACCAGTATCTTTCGGATACGTGCCAGGTTGACGACATTAGTCACAGTGATTTGCCACATCAATATCGATATTAAATTTTTCACAGCATTCTTCGTTACTTTTTAATGTTAGGGTAATGCTTAGGGCCAATGATAAGTTATATTGAAAACTTCTTTAGCTTAAAATTTTCTTACGGATTATATGTACTATCTTAATTTATCTCGGAAAAGATTCGGAAAAGCAATATACAACAAATTTCTTCCGCATATAAGAATGGCTAAATTATTTTTCGAATTGGTTTAAACAAATACGACAAATAACAAGGTTCGTTTGTTTATGATCGAAATAATCGAATACGGATTTACTATTCACGATATATTATCATCACACGATGAATGATCTCTTGCAATTATGCACTGATATCCAAAGAATGGCTGATTCATTTTGTACATAAATGAATGCTAACGTTCATTGCATTCGTTTAAAACCGAAATTGTTGGAAGCGGATTAGCTATTCACGAAATATCGATATTAAAATAATAAAATAATTGCTTATTTGTACTAACTCCCGACACTAATTTTAATATTGTTTAATGGTCATATTTTGAGAACGGTCGATTCATTTTGATTATCTTGGGTTTAAATAAATCCCATAGTTTGTAGCATTCATTTAAGTACAAAATCATCGAAATTGAATCAGCTGTTCTCGAGTGGTAAAAGGTAAAATGGGCCATATTTACTTGCAAGTTATTCACTTTCTATTGTATGTATTTCGTTAAACATGCACGTTCTTATCGTTGAAACACAATTTAAAATTTGTTTAATACAGTATGGCACGAATATATATATATATATATATGTCATAAGTGGAACGGTTTTGGAATTTCTTAGGATTTTAAAGTTATGGTGTAAGTTTATATAAAATAAATTCTATCCTAAAATTATTAATTTTAATAAAAAATTCCAAATCCATTCCACATAACGGGTATTAATCAAATGATTTATAAATTCTCGTAACTATTACGTAGGGTAATACGTAAAAGAAAAATTTTGCAACAGATCTTTTTTGTTAGTAATTTTATAATAATAATTTGTAAAATTCGGTTTAATTTTTCCTAATTTGTTTTTATTTAATAAAATCTCTAATATGAATTTTTTAAACCAAAATTTCGATAATAAGCGTAGAACGTAAATTTTTATTCTAATTTTTTATTACCTAATTTGAGACCCACTCTAATTATGTATTAAAACAACAAAAAGAATTCATTCAGTACATAATTGAAACTAATTAATAATAGTTTAATAAAATTAATACGAATACATCTAAAAATGTAAACATATTTAATGATATTAAAAAGTAAAGCAAATCTAATATCAAATTCTATTTTATTCTTTACTGAGTTTCTTCCTCAGGCTGACCATCAGGCTCACCATCAGGTTCACCATCGGGTTTACCATCAGTTTCACCTTCAGGTTTATTTGTCTTATGTTCTTCGACTTGATGATCTTGATGATCTCCACTTTTACCATTAACCCCACAATCAGAATTTTGTGGCCAATCACACCATAGTTGTTTCGAATTCCATTGCAAACCTTCAGGACATTTCATCAAATATGGTTTACCGTTAGCGCACTGATAGAATGAACAACAATCATCTGGATTAGCGTAAAGACAATTAGGGTTTTTCTCATCATGACTTTCTGGGCACTTAAACTCTAAATTAAAATTTTACAAATTTCCAAAGAAATAATTAGTTGGTTAAGACAAAATCTATCACCAAAAAAAAAAAAAGACTCAAATTATAATAATCGTCCTTACCTTCACCGAAAGCGGAAATAGTGTACAGTGACACTGTAGTCAACAAGATGATTATGGGTTTTCTAAGTAATTTCATTTTGATAGGGAATTTATGATTTAATTATAAAGGATTTATTATATTCGATGAATTTTTTGAATTTTTGAATTTTTTGTTTTGAAAGTATAAACTTTTTTAATTTTTTAATTTTTTTCATTCAAAACAGGTCATTTTTATAATTTTATCGAAAAATGAAAATCTACTGTTTTTAATACTAAAATTGGAAAATTTTAATTATGCATGCAAAAAATAATTCTATATATATCTTTGCATTGATTTATCCAAGAAAATTTGGACTTTTAAATTAGTAATACCATAATAAAAAACTATTTGTTTTTTATTGCATTAATTTATTATTACCAAACAATGAAAATAGATGATTTTTCTTCGCGAATAAAGCTTTGAAAAGAAACATGCTTCTCGTACACATATTTAACGCACTTATTAGAGGTGCATCTATGAGAAATACGTCTATAAGATGTACATTAACACTACATTATGAATGAATGGGTGTTTGTTGTAAGATCATTTTGAAATTCACGAAACTTCCAAAGTGTAACATGATGTATAATTAAAATGCTGAGTCGGAAATTCAAAATTCTGTATTGCTTTTTAGACACCGATACGACTATACTTGTTCATTAAGCAGTCTAGACTTCAAATTTTCAACATAACTGATTAAGAATACATAAGTACAATTTTGAATAGATTTCTTAAATGGTCTGATTATTGTAGGGATGGCAGAAATCATGATTTAAATCGATTTTTTTTGATTTAAAAATGGTTTACAAATGATTTAAATCATTGATTCTTATTACGTAATTAAATTATTTTATATTCAAATTCTGACTTTGAATGCGACTTTCA